GAGTTTAATAGTCATGTTTTGCTTATCTGCTCCTGGGGGATAGAGATGAGGAAGTGATTAAAGTGTTACACATTCAATGGGTTGTGATATAGATACATGAAATATAAATAAGTTTAACAAATGTATCTTTGGTTCCTGGCACACAGCTCCTACACCCATTGGCATCTCTAAGCGATGAGTGTCTTTTGTGTGCTAATGAGTGGGTGTGGGGCTCCTAGGTAGCTTCTGGAGGGGGGCTGCTTGCCAGAAAAACCCTGGCCGCTGAGGAAGAGAGGGGGGCTGGAAATAATTACTAATGGCCAGTGATGGAATCAGTCATGCCTACTTAATGAACTCATAAACCCCCCTGAGCACAGGGTTCAGAGCGCTCCCAAGTTGTTGGACGCATGGCCGTGCTGGGAGAGCAGTGGAGCACCACACACACACCTGCTCTTGGCATCTCTGATCTTTGGTTCTTCTTGAGTTTGAATTCTTAATAACAACCTAGTTCTATGAGCCATTCTAGTGAATTATTGAACCTGAGGAGGGGCTCATGGGAACCCCTGATTTATAGCCAGTTGGTCAGAAGTATGGGTAGCAGGCTGGGACTTGTGACAAGTGTCTGAAATGGGACAGTCTTGTGGGGCTGAGCCCTGCACCCTGTGGAGTCTAACATCTCCTCCAGGTAGTTACTGTCAAAACTGAAGTGGCTTGTAGGACATCCAGTGGTTCCTGGAGAACTGGAAAACTTTTTGGTGCTGGGAAAACACCACACAGCTATGATCTGGGAAGTGGTGCAGCTCTAGAAACATACAAGAAGGGCCCTTAATGCAGACCAGGATGGTTAGAGAAGGGTTTCTGGAGGGGCTGACTAAGGGAGACCTAAAGTTGGTCAAAGTGGGCAGGGGAGGGTTGTAAAGAAATAATTCCAGGCAGGTGGAAAATCATGTGAAAAGCAGGTGAACTTCTCATTGTAAAAATAAATTGAAATCTTAGGTTCCTACTTTCTCCCTTATGAGTTGGGTCAATGTGAGTCAGTCTTCTGGGGTCTAGTCACCTTTCTGCTCAGTGACAAAGTTGATTCCCTTAGCATAATCATCAGAAGATGAGTTCAGGGACTGCCCATTGAGGCAGTGCCACCAGTCTGTGTGCCAAATGGATCTTCCCAGATGATGCTCTTGCCTTTTTGTGCATGATTATTCAAATTTAAGTGAAAGTTCTTAAATATTTGCGGTTGGACAGTTTATTCACAGTGGGTAAGTTGGGGATAGGCTCAGTGTTTTTTGAAATAGGGTTTTCTTTTAAAAACGAACTTGGATATTCCCCGAGCGCTCAGAAAGGGCCCAGCAAGAGCATGTGGCAAGGCACATACTTGCCCAATAATGTGGGCTTCCCCAAATCTGCTGTTCTTTTCAAATAAGCATTCCACATCTATGCTTATCCATTTCTGTTCATGGTATCAACTCTTTAATTTGCACCCTGGACATCATTTATGCAATAGCTGGGTCTTGTCCCTTCAAGCCTATCTAACACAGCTGGCAACTTGCCTTTATAGGAAAGCTTCTGGAACTGTGCAGAAGACAGTCCAGCACACTTCAGTCCACCATGAATCAGTCAGTCCATTGCCTGTACCATGAAATCACTAACTCTGTGGTTGTACACTCCTGTACGGACTCCTGGCGTTTGTTTGTAATTAGTCTGCATGAGTTTTGTGTTTTTTGTTAGTTTGTTGGTGGTCTCCATTGACTCGTCCACTTATTAATAACAGGGAACACTTTCTGCGTATGTAAGGCTCTGTGCCAGGTGCTTCATACGAATCGCTTCATCCTCATGGCCACCCCGTGAGGTGGATGCTGTTACTGTCTCAGAAGCTCATGCACAGGTAGTGGTGGGGGTGCTTGCTCACTGTGTTTTCCGCTGCCTCTGCTTTTTCGGTACCCGGGCCATCACTCCCAGAGCATTTCCCGTGGTGCTAGGCATCAAGGGGGCCTTCGGGGGGCTCAACTTGCCTAGTGTATGTCTGGAGCTGTCCAGGAACGTCCCCCACCAGATCATTCCCACAGGATCCCGTGTCAACGGGCAGCCACAGAAACAGTTCTAAAGAGATGCAATGTCCACAGCCCGCACTGGGAGCAATGCCAAGCCACTGAACTTCTCTGAAACAGCATTACAGAGAAAAAAGCCTTGGGGTCTTTCCCAACTCAAACTTGTGTTTTACACATTTATTAGAAAAGTTTGCTGATAAGGCAGGAAAGTAATTTAGGCTTTTGAATGAGGGTTTTTGCTTTTTAGAGCCTTTGCAATGTTAATAGCACTTAAGGAGAACACCTTATTTTAAAAACAACCAGGGTTAATCTGGTGTGTAGCATTGGGATCCTTTCGGCCACTAGTGAGGGGTCCCTGGCCCCCCTCAGACGCCTTTGGTATTAATTACAAATACAGCTTCAAAGATGGAGTCAAAAGCTCTTTTGATGCTTTTATTGACAATTTGAGTACAACCTTAGATACAACTGTCAAGTATTTCTTTACACATTTCACAGAAAAATATTCTTCTGCAAAGGCTTTATTTCTATTCTGATATGTTTTGTACTCAAATGTGTTCATTTACAGTGGTTTTTGATTCACATTCATTTATAGTGCTTGTTTTTCCTTTAATGTGCTTTAAGAGTCAGTATTCTATTTTGGAAAAAGAAAAAAAAGAAGAGAAGAGACTACTCCCAGGAAAAGGGCAGGGGCCTGGGGCCTTCTGCCACGCATCAGCGCCTGGGAGCAAAGCTTGCCCAGGCACTGCAGCCCAGCGAACCCTGCCTATCTGGAAGCAGGTAATACTGGCAACAGCATTAAAACCAAATGCATGGAGAGTGTAAAGTACTGGCGTTCCCCATGACGGGGGAAGCCATCCACTCTGTTGTGGCGGGTGGGAAAGGAGCCCCCCACTTCCTGGGTTTGATGGTGTCCTAGTCAGGCCTTGAGTGGCCTCCAGACTGACTGCCGATACCAGCCATTGGGACAGCTGGGCCCACGCCTGGTGGCCTTCCTTTTTGCTCATGCCCGCAGACGCGGGCCCCGGGTAATCTCTACTCCACCTTCAGGCTTCCTGACATGCGTTTGGCAGCCTTAGGGCCATGTTGCGGGGCTGGACTTTTTGAAGGAGCGCAGCCAATGGCGTTGTCAAAGCCCATGTGGCTGCAGCGTCCCATCTACTCTGAGGTGCAGCGCCTCCAAGTGACAGGAGAGCAGAGAGGATTGTCTCTGAGTGGATGGTTAGGGAAGGAGGGACCATGTCCCTGAGAAATTTTCTGAGTCTTTTCCCTCTCCCCAAGCAAGAAGGCTTGTCTACAAGACAGGCTATATCTACAAAACCCTGCAATTGATTTCCTAATTTCCTGGGTCCCTAAATCCAAAAGGGACTGCAAATGTTTTTGGGACTCATGCCTTAGTTAGGGTCACGATCTTCCTGAGGAGACAGACACCGAGTGCAAAAGACAGCGCTTACCCGCTGTGCTGTAGGAAATGAGGTGTGTGGCACTTAGTGTAAACACATCTCTTACTGATGAATTGTGAATGCCTCAAAAAAAAAAAAAGATGAAAACTCGTTCACTGCATGGTAACATGGGGGAATGTTCCAGTGTGCATTTACTGCCCTCGAGAAAAGGGGTCTCTTTGGAGTGACCCAGGGGGTGGGCAGAGCCCCCTGGGGCTTGCAGGCTGGGGCAACATAGCCAGCAGGCTGAAAGAGCATAAACCCTTCCATTATTTTGATAGTCCTGGACATGCTTCTTTTAAGATTCTGCTTTAATAACCTGCACTTTTGTTGACATCGAGAGTCATTATGAAATCATTTCTAAAAATGTCTCCTTTACAGGGACTTTCTCCATTACATTTACAGTGAAGTCAAATGTATTAGCTTATTCTGCAAGCTGCAGAATGGATGTTTAAAAGCAGATTAAAGATTCTGTAATATTTTCAGAAAAAATTTCTTTCTAAAGTGGCAAATAATTAAATGAAATAAAAGAATGTAATTTTTGATTTCTTTCCCGTAATTTAAACATTTAACTCTCAAGGTAATGTTCATAATTTCTCACTTAGTTGACAAGTTGATATATGCATGGTTGATATTTCATCAATTCAATATATAAAGATAGAATGTTTGGTGATAAACATGTAGTTTTGATTATTGCCTTTAGTTCTCTGGAAGTAGATGTGCTCTGAAAAATTAAATAAGAGCATTGCTCTTAAAGCCATGAGCACGGTCCTGAGAATCCACTGCAGTCAATCCTACAGAGAACCTCCGACAAGAGTCCCTCAGACTATTCTCGCTTCATCAGTGGCTTCTTCCTATTATTTGCTGAAGGTAAAATGCAGGAAATATAAACCCTTTCTACTTGTAAAATTCCCTTTCTATCAAGTAATCCAGCCTGACTTGGGTTCATGCAAGAATGGCAATCCATACAAAAGACAGACTTACACTTCACCTCTGCTCTGGTACTTTTGTATTGCTGGGGCCTGGGCAGACTTCTTGCTGGCCTCCCAGTTAGCTCAGCTGATTTTCATGGATACAAGGAAAGGCATCCTGGGAGCTCCTCCTGTAACTTTGTTTTTGTGATTTTGGAAAGAAGTTTAAGTGTGCGTGTGTGTGTGTGTGAAGTTTAAGTGTGCGTGCATGTGTGTATGTGTGTGTGTGTGTGTGTGAAGTTTAAGTGTACGTGCGTGCGTGTGTGTGTGTGTGTGTGTGTGTGTGTGTTTGGAGAAAGGAAAATTAGTTTAAGTGTATGTGTGCGTGTGTGTGTGTGTGTGAAGTTTAAATGTGCGTGCGTGCGTGTGCGTGTGTGTGTGTGTGTGTTTGGAGAAAGGAAAATTAGCAAACCACAGTTGGACACTTTATTTCCAAGCAGGCCGGGCGCCTGGGCTGGGCTGCAGCTACGGGTCAAACCAGTGGTCTCCCATGCAGGTGCGGTTCCACTCGCAGCCACAATTCCAGCACCACTCAAGCTGGCATTGGGGCTGGGGGCACTTCATGTGCATGCAGCCTCCTGTGGGCAGACAAAGGATATAGGCAACACCTGGAAATGCTCGTTCCCATGGCACCACGCTCCTCTAGAAACTTTCTAAGAGAACCATCACAAGCAATATACGGGCAGAATGTGGACTGGGAAAAACAGGTCGGAAAGCACCCAAGCGAGCTGTAAAGTTATGATGCCCACTGAGAAACCAATGAGGGTGAAGCTTGTCGCTTTCGTTGAGGACAAATTTTGTAAATCTAAATTTATTTACTCTCCTGAAAATGGGATTTAGAGTTAAATGCTTCGTGTTGCACCGACAGGGGTCAATTTCTTATTTAAATATATATTAAATGTAATAATTTAAATGTATGTTAATATATTTAATATATAATAATGTAAATATGTCTCGTAAGTAATCTTTCTCATTTCTTAATGTGACATAGCTTGGTAAAATTTATAAAACAGGTGTTGAGACAGCAGTATTTAAAGCATTTAATAAGGAACATGCCTTAATGCTGTTCAAAATTTTATTTAAGATGAGAAGGACAGAGAGAAACTTATGAATAATGCTATGTGCTCTACATATATCATTTACTCCTCAAAATCTCCTTGTGAAATGAGATATTACTTGGTCGTAGAATTTTGTCAAGGTCAAGGACTTTTAAATGGTGAAGACTGAGATTTAACCAAGATCTGTAATGATGCCAATCTTCCTTCTCTCACAGAACAGAGCCTTTTTCAGTCTTAAGATGGAAAACCCCTTCTTGTGGCACCTCGTTTGGGATTCCTCACCGCCTGCCTTTTGTTGAATCCATTCCTGTCTGATTCTGGAGCTCAGACTCCGATTCTGCTGCGAGGTGAAGAGGAAGTTAATTGTATGATATTATACGGGGAGAACTGTTTCTGACTGAAGTTCCGGGTAATCCAGGCCAAAGCAGTTTCTTTGCTTGACTCTGATGTGATTTGGATGAGCTCCATTACCCAATTTTATCAATTACCTTAAGCCATTTTTTTCTTGCCAAGTTTTCCAAGTAATGGCTTCAGTACTGTATCATTTTTACTATTAGAAACCTGGCATGAGAGCTTCCACTAATTTACAGTAGTTTTGATATGTAACTAAAGGCATTTGTTTTAGGATAACTTAAGGGTATTAAAAGTCCCATACTTTTCTACTTCTTTTTGGTCTGTTTTAAAGATTATTAAAAAATTATAAACATGGGGGAAATAAAGGGAAAAACCTACTTATACTTTTATCTAAAGATTTCCCACTTAGGATTAAACAATTATAGGATTGTATAATTTTCAATATATTTAGTGATTGTATATTTACGAGGTAAAATTACATAATGTTTCCCATCATACCAAAATCTTAATGGATATGAAATACTAGCATTACAAGTAAAATTTTAATATAGCAACTAGAATCACAATGGTACAACAGTATAAGAAGAAAGGAATTAGTTAAGAGTGGATATACATTCTAAACCTTCTTTCCCTCCTGATGCTTAATATATACAAGGCCATATGCTGGATCCCATAATGTGGAGAGGGATCAGAGACTAACTCGGAAAGCTCTGCCAGCTTAGAAGTAAATGTGAGCAAGAAGTGACCAACAATTGCATACTAATCTGTGGACATTCAGGTTCAGAAACATGGCTCCCCTGCTCTGACCGTGAGAAGCCCAGGCCGACAACTCTGCCGTTGGATTTACTGAGAGCAGAAGTTCCTCAGCAACCTGAAGACAAACTTAATTGGCAGCAGACATCTACTGATCCGGGAATGGAGCTAGAATCTCATCTGTTTGAGGGGAAGTGAAGGGAGAAACTTGCAGGCACTGAAGGGGATTATGGGAGGAAGAACCGACACTGAGCTTATGTTGAAAGTGAAAATAATTCTTGTTGCCATTAGAGCTTTGCTGAAGAAAGAACTGCTTTTGTGGGATGCAGAAGAACATGAAGCAGGTCATGAGCTGAGGTGGAGAGCTGGCTGACATGCATAGCTTCTCTTGCTCAGTGGAGCTTACATTTTTTTCTGTTGTAGGGCTTTGCTCTAAAATACTCTGGACTATCATTAATAAGCTTCAGCTTTTCAGGTCATTGGTTCAACATGTTTGGTGAAAGATTATGCTTTCCATTTATGGCACCTCACAATATTTCAAAGAAATAACCAGACTGGGAACCTGTCCCACATCATGAGTCATTCGCCTCCTTCAGTCACATCGTCCATGGCTGCCCATGGGGTCTGACTTGGAGACACATCTGACAGCATCATTTCCCTGCTTCATGCTCTGGAGTGGATCCCTGTCTTACAGAATCAGGTCCAAGCCCCTCATGTCCTCAGTGCCCTGTGCTCTCTCTCTGACCTAGCTCCAGTGTATGCTCCTGCCATGCCTCGTCCAGGAACTCCAAACAGCTGGGCTCCTGCATGCATCAGAGTTTGCTGTTTGCGCTCCGTGCCTCTGCAGACTCTGTTGGCCTTGAAGGCCTCTGTCCCACCTCACTGACTGCCTAATTTCTACTGTTTCTTCAGTTCTCAGCATGGGTACCATCTTTTCCAGGGAGCTGGAGCAGTCTGGCACACAAGGAATAGCAGTGACTCACTGGGTAAGTTCCTTTTTTCCAAGAAACTAAACCCTCAGGCCTTGCACTTCACTAGCTTGCTTTCTCTCATTTTTATCAGAGATACCTGTTTATGTGTCCATCTCCTTTACTAGTTGTTTTTCTTAAATCAACAAATATTTATTTGTCAGGCACTTTTCTGGGCCCAGAAAATAGACAAGATTCCTGACTTTTGGTAATAGCAAAATGGTCTCTTATTACTCAGTTTACACTCTTTAAATACCTGTGAGATGGGACACTGGCCTGCGCTTCCCAGCACTGCAGTCCCTCCCTCCTGCAGGGCCTTTGCCTCTCATTCTGGCCGCCTAAGGAACATCGCTCAGTGCATGGGGATGAGACAAGTTCTTTCCTCTGACTCCATCGATGTCTTCTCTTTACAGGTGTGTGCAACCCACCACATTTTCTAGGAGTGGTCTGGCACGCAAAGGAATAGCACTGACTCATTGGGTAAGCTCCTTTTTTTCCCAGAGACCATTGATTCAGAGCTGAAGCCTTGGCCTGGGTCACGGCTGTTCCTGCTGCTCTGGGATGACGTTGGCATTCCTTCTTTTGTATTAATGAAGGCTCTCTGAAACGTGTACCCGAGGAAGGAGAGGCTTGAGTGCCCATGATGGGACTGCCCGGTTTCACTCTAGAGAAGCCAGCTCTTAGTAGCCTACACACCAGGGCTGCTAAGGCTCAATGGGGGAACCTGGGAAAAGCTGTTTTATTTCTCATCTGTATAAAGCTGTGGACTAAATCATACTGGGGGAACCTGGGAAAAGCTGTTTTATTTCTCATCTGTGTAAAGCTGTGGACTAAATCATACATGCACACGCATTTCTGATTTAGAAAGGGCTCTGGGCTGGGCTGGCCTTGAGCTGGTTGGCACGTCCAGGATGGATGGCAGTGGGTATCCCCGCCGTCCTCACACTGGTTGCTGTGAGGTGTCAGAATCGCTGTGAATGGGACACCCCAGAGTACTCTGGCACAGACTACTGTTAGCCTTCAAACTGAAGCTGCACAGTGAGGGCTGACAGCACGAGCACCCAGTGCGACCATCCAAGCAGGGGCAAGGTCCGCAGGGGAGGAAGGCCACACCCTCAAGCATGGATGCGCATCATGGAGCCCAGCCCGTCTCCCTCTCCACACGCGTCAGCATATCCTGGGCCACTGGGGCAGAGTGGGGAGGGGAGTCCTTCCTTCTGAGAGCTCTTGCAAGTCTCCCATGCGATGGCCGCGGTGGCCCCCAGCATGTAGGAGTGGGGTGGGTGTGGCTGCGTGTGCGAGGAAGGGAGGCCCGGCCTTCTTGCCCTGAGTTGCGGGTACCCTTAGGGAGGACCACCTGACCACGGGTGCCAGTTCCTCAGCCTGTAAGCCCACACGCAGTAGGGTGTGAACTGGGGCTCCTGGGGGACTGACTACATTCAGTGCCACTTGATCCAGGGCATCTCCAAACGGTCACTTCACATTCTTAAAATTTAGAGAGTAATTTGTGAGGCCAAAGGAAAAGTCCTATTCACAAACACATTCGTGTAAAGGATATTTTAATGATGGAGCCGAGTGTCATGATAACAACAGACACTGACTCTCGTGCAGCAGGGAGGGAGAACTATAGGCCAAAGGGTGCCCCAGAGTTCAAGGGGATATGAATCAGTGTGATAAGAAAACAGCTTCATGGCCAGAAAACTGGGGACCAATTGGTTAGACAAAATGAAACAGATTTCTTTTCAAAAGGAATTTTGAAATGCCTACATCTGTGAATTTATATCGTGGACGGGAGTAATAATAGTAGCTCCCCTGCGGGACTGCTGCGAAGGTTTAATGATCTGACACTTGGGGAGAACTTAGGACAATGCATGTCAGTTTCTGCTGTTGTCTGTGAGGGGGAAACAGTAGGAGGGGGTTGGCAAGTCAATCTGACATGGTGACATCCCCCTTTCCTCATTGCGCCTCCAGTCACCAGGGCACGTGGAGGACCCTGTGGGAGACACGGGACCGGGAAGCTTCCTTAACACCTTTTTGTCTGGTTAGAGTAGTGGGCAACTTATCAAAGTGTCTACCATTATGAATAACAAATGATATGTAATAAATGATAATATATTAAACCAATTATTTGTATATATGTTAGTATATCATTATATTAAAATGATATAATTAAATGATAATGAAATAATAATTCATATATTATTCATATGTAAATGAATAATAAATAAAGGCAGTGAGTGTTTATTGAGTGCTTTCTCTGTGCCAGGCACTGGGCCAAGCATGTGCCATGCATCGTGCCATGGGGCTCCACTATTGCAGGGCAGCTGCTGTTAGCATTTCTGCATGACAGGTGAGGGCCTGTGGTTCAGGAGGTGAGGAAACGTGATGTGAGAGAGCTGAGATTTGCAGGCCGGCCAGATGCCTCCCAAGGCCCTGTGCTGTACCAAGATCCCCCGGGTATGAAGCCCACCTAGGGTTCTGACAAGCTAGGACGACACAGCAAATGCTCTCCAAGGGGGGCTCATTAAATCCTCACTTTCTGTGAAGCCCAGACTCACCATTTTTTTCAACCGGCACATGGCAACGGGGACAGGGCTTGGTGGTTCTCTTGATTGTCTCTTTGGAGGCTTTGTCCCACCGAGCCTGCTCGGCTGCCTTCTCATCAACTCTGTAGGCCTGAGTAAATCAAGACAAAAGGAGTTGAAATTCAGATCTTTCTATTGGGTTCCTTGAAGAACTGTCACAGCATGGGAACATTCTTAGGGATGGAAATGCTTTCGGGTAAGAAGCTCAAACATAAGCTCACTTGAAAGTGGTGGACAGGTGTGGACACACACAGAGCAGGTCTTTCTTGGCACATGGCCTATGCTTACAAACCAGAAAAGATCACTTGGTTTTATGATGCAAGGTCCTCTCTTTTCTTGTTTTGAATAATTGTGATAAATGACATCTATTAGATGCTTAATATGCAGGCAGGTGATGAACTCTCCATAGACACTTTTTGTTGGGTCCTTTGTCAGGTAACTATACACTGAGTTTAGAAGTTTTTTTTACACTGAGGATTAGACACATCAAACAATTGCCCAAAGCTGGTAAGTCGGAGTCTGTGTAACTCCAAAATCTTTGCTTTTAAATGTTCTTCTACATCTCATTTTCCTTCATTCTTGCACCTAGACAATGGGGAACTCCAAATGCTTTCACAGAAGGGACAGGAACAGGAACAAGGAGATGAAGTCGATGTGACAGAGATGGTGGCAGTGGGGGCTGGGACTAACCAGAGGTTAATTAAGATTGGGCTTGGGAGTCAGCTGCCTGGGTCAAACCCAGCTCCACACAGCTGGGTGACTTTGCTAACATTCCTTTACCTCTCTGAACACTGCCATCAATTACATGGAAGTAAAAAATACCTAGTGCATTGGGGGTATTGAGGATTAAATAATTTCGTTACGATTTGTAAATGGGTGACACGTGTTGTTCAGTGATAATATGAAATACCTTGATCTATAAAATGGCAAGCTCTCAAAAATGTTTGCTAATATTATTCATGTCAGAGGACTGAATTATCCTTGACTCTTACCACGAAAAGGAGGATGGATTTCAAAACAGCTGCTGCCAATACTCATTCCGCACCTGCCTCATCATTCAGACTCTATCTCTTCCAATTACTTTGTATTGAATAACATGCAGAAAAAGAACCGATACATTTTTTAATTCATTTCAAGAACTTTGTGGTCTACAAATATATTTCAAAATGTTACTCCAAACAGAACCCCTCCATTTGGCCTCCATAGTGTTTAAAGTTTTTTCTTTTATGCTTTAAAATTCATATGAAATTTGGAACATGAAAATTGTTTTTGTTAACTAGTAATAACTATTCAAAAATATTCCCAGAGCTATTTTTAGGTTAGGAAACTACTGAAAAATAACTTAAAATATCAATGAATGAAGACATCATATCACATGAAATGTTCTATCACTCTGGTATTTCCCTAATAATAATACTGATAATAATACTTTATACACTTATAACATTTTTTGACACTCTGATTTCAAAAACATCAAAATTATTTTACAGTGAGGCTGCTGAGTAGCAAAAAAGTCGGGGTGCTGGCTTCATAGAGCAGTGTTAGCCTCTCAAATGCAAATGCTTGTGAAACCTGAAGGACGGCCACGCAAACTAGCGATGCTCACACACAGGCTGTGCCGCAGAACCAAACTGCACCCAGCACCGTCACCTCTTGGCAGGTGTTCAAGATGTGGAGAGTGAAAGCAAGAGGTACTGGGCTGGCAGTGCTCAGAAGACAGTACCTTAGTACTCATCCTCTGATCACCGCAGTGCGGTGAGACCCCTGGGTGAGATGCGGAATTTGCTGAGTAGGACCCTCCACCCCAAGTGCAAATCCAACTTTTATCATTTCACTATCAGATTTGAGAAACTTTTGAAATATTAAAATTTTTCAGTCTTGAAGAATGCAGACACCAAAAGTAAAGGCAGCAAAAGCAAAAATAAACAACCAGGATGACGTCAAACTAACAAGCTTTTGTAAGCAAAAGAAACCATTGACAAAATGAAAGGCAACCTGCTGAATTGCAACCCACATATCTGATAAGGGGTTAATATCCAAAATATATAAAGAGCTCATGCAACTCATTACTAAAAACAGACAAACAAAACACTCAAACCATCTGATTAAAAAATGGGCAGATGACCTGCATAAACATTTTTCCAAAGAAGACACACAAATGGCCAAAAGGTATGTGAAAAGTTGCTCAACATCACTAATCATGGAGGAAATGCACATCAGAACCACAGTACTATATCACCTCAAACCAGTCAGAGTGACAACTTTCAAAAAGACAAGAAATAAGTGTTAGCAAGGATGTGTAGAAAAGGTGACCCTTGTTAACTTTTGGTGGTAGGAATGTATATTGGTGTAGCCACTATGAAAAACAGTACAGAGGTTTTTAAAAAAATCAACCAGCAGTTCCACTTCTGGGAATTTATCAGAAGAAAATCAAATCACATTCTGAAAAAGATAATTGTGGTCCCATGTTCACTGCAGCATTATTTACAATAGCCAAGACATGGAAATAATCTAAGTATATAATGATAGATGAATAGATAAAAAAAAAAAAACATACACACTCACACATGTAAAGAGGAATATTATTCAGCCATAAAAAAGAAGAAAAATATTTGCTTAATGCATGGCTGACCTGATGGGAAAGTAAGGGAAATCCCTGAAGAATAGAATTAGAAATAGAAAATCTTCCTGGCTAAGGGAGGGATCTAGGGTTTGCTGTGGGCTATTTTCCTTGTCCCAGGCTGTCCAGAGCCTAGGTCATCATAGATCCTGAGAGTATAGGGAGAGACAAAAATGGGCCAGAGCAGGGTGGAAGGTGGAATCAGATTTTGCCATTACACAGAGATGACCAAGACTCCTGAAGGGATGACATCCTTAGCTGGTGAACTACAGGGAAAAACCTTCCTGGAAGAGACAATCGATAAAGATATGTGCTGGTTTTAGCTTTGATTCTATGGCAGGGCAGGCTGGGGAGAAAAGCTCAGAATTCTTAACCACCAACTCTCATATACAAGAGCCTATGAAAATAATTCATACCATTGATTAACTTAAAAAAAAACCTCAAACCCAAAAGTTAATTTGAAAACTCTCAGATTGGTAGTATACCCAGGGATATGGCTAAAACAAAAATATTTTCTGTAGAATAATGCCATTTAAACAGCTAAACCTCAAACAAATCACAAAAATGAAATTCCAAGAAACTTTGGATCACAATAAAAATGTTACCCAATGCAAGAGAATAAAAGTGAGTGAAAGTTACTGAAATACAAAACTACAGAATCTGACCAGCAAAGGTTGTTGGTATTGTAATAATGAGATACAGAGTAAAAAATAAATATGTTCGTTATACTTAAAGAAATAAAAGAGTACATGGAAAGAATGGCAAAGGCATAAGAGACTCAATAATTAACCAAACTTGAAAAAGAAATGCATTTCTTTGTCAATTTTCCAGACATGAATATTAATGATTAAAATTAGAAACTCAGTTGAGCAAATTAGATACAAATAAAGAGAGAATTTGTGAATCGGAAGATAAAGCTGAAGAAATTACATAGCAGATCAGAGAGCATAAAATGAAAAACATGAAAAGGAAATTAAGAGAGAGGGGGATAGAGTGAAAAAGTACAACACTTCTCTAGAGTTCTTGAAAGAGAAGTCAGAGAGCAAGAGGCAGAAACAGTATTCAGAGAGTGGCCAAGAAAACACATATCTACAAAGAAGTTGCAGCTATTCTGACAGCTGATTTCTTAAACCCATGGATACTAGCAGATGGTAGTACAGTATCTTCAAAGTACTGAAAGAAAATGCAGCCTACTTAGAATTCTATAAGCAAAATGAATTTTCAAGAATAAGAATGAATTAGAACACTTTCAGACAAAAAAATACAGTATATTCAGCAGACCTTCATTAAAGGAACACCTGGACAGGATAAAGTCCAGAAGACCTGAGTCACAAGAAGAAACTGAGCAAAGAGAATGGTAATGTATGGGTAAGGCAGAGGAAATATTGACTACAGACTACATAAAACTATCAAAACAATGCTCAATTTGTTGGTTTAAAAAAATCAAGGTAGAAACTAAAATGCTAAACAAGAACAGCATATAAATGAGAGAATCAAGTAGTATTAAGGTGGTGGCATTATTCAGGCTGGGGGTCATTAGATTCTGTTACACTAATATATGCTTAAATTTCTAGGGTCATCAGTAAAAGAAAAAGTATTTTGCTTCTAAACAAGAAAAAATAGAATAAATGGAAAAAACAAACAGAAAATTAGTAAAAAAGAAAGTATAGACATATAGAAAGAAATAGCACAAAATAAAGTGGCAGAAATGACTGCAGATGGTTCAGGAATCACCACAGTGTAAGTAGATTGTAATCTAGAGCAAGACTTGGTAAACCATGGCCCATGGGTCAAGTCTGGGCTGCCACTTGCACTGTAAATATAGTTTCAGTGGAAGTCAGATTTGCTTATTTCCATATTGTCTATGCCAATGGGCAGAATTCAGCTGCAAGCATGTGCAGGAGTGAGGGCTTGTTTCCTGGCAGGCTGTCCACTGGGGGGCATTCTCAGCTTCTAGAGGCTTCCTGCATCCCCTGCCTCTTGGCTCCCTTCACCAACAATAGAGACAGTCAAAATTATAGTAAAATTAATTTCTAATTATCTCATTTACTACTATATGATTGCGATTTACTATTAAAGATGTATTTTAACAATTTCATTTAAAATGTACATGGATATATCTCAATACATGATTATGAAAATTTTGAGAAATAAAAAGCATAAAAAAGGATGAAAGTCATCTGCAATCCTTTATTAGTTATAGTCACTGTCCATATTTTTAATCATTTAAAATCATTTAAAAATTCTACATATAGTATGTATATATTTTTTGTAATCCAATTTTCTCCTTTAAAGTATATTGTGAACATTTTCCCATATCACTTATAAGTATTATGTGTGTGTGTGTATAAAATTTTAATTTTCACTGGATTCCAGCATCTGAATGTGCCCTAATTTACAATTAATCAGATTGCAGGAAATGTGGGTGACTCCTTACCATTCTAAATAATCTTGAGATAAATATTCTTATG